TATATATATATATATATATATATATATATATATAATATAAATAATTTATTATGATTTATTTTTTCTTTCGGCTTCTCCCTTCTTCAGGGGTCGCCACAGCAATATGTTGCACGAAGACTTGGCAATTATTTTTACACCGGATGTCCTTCCTGACGCAACCACAGACCACCGAGCTACCACAGCCCTTAGTGTGGAGCAGAAAGCTGCTATCTGGGGTGCCTGGGGGAGCAGATGGTGGGGGTTAAGGGCCTTGCTCAAGGGCCTAGAGTGGGACAAATGGGGGTGGAGTTAGGTGTGGGTGCTTCACCTATCCCACCCACATTTTGATGTTGTCGGCACCGGGAGTTGAACCAGCAATCTTCTGATCACAAGCCCACCTGTATATATGTATATATATAAATAAATACAATATATATATATATATATATATATATATATATATAATCTCAAGTGAACATTTGTTATCCCAAAGATGATGGCTGTTTGTTAATACTGTACATTCACCGTTTATATCCATTTACATTGTTCTTTTACCTGTTTACCATCCCTTTTAATAATAAATCAGAAGTGCTGTATTGATGAATTACATATTTTAGATGTTGTGCTGCCTTATCAATATTTAAATGTTAAAATACTGCATTGTAAACATAGCAAAGTTTTAGACTAAAGCCTCAGTAACAGATCTGGGTAAATCTGAATTCTTACACTATCACTACACAAAGCTTTCTTTCCCACAGATTAGTCATACCTGATCTCCACTTCTTGGTTATTTTTGATTGGCTGCTACTTGATTGACTGACAACTGCTTGAAGGTCTAATATGCCAAAAACTGTCCTCCCACACCTGTACACACCTACAATTAGATGCTGGTTGGACATCCACTCAGGTGTAAATTGTGTTACTGAACAGTGCATTACTTTGCCTTGAAGCCAGATTTCTGCATATTTGGATGTCAGTTGCATTTATGCAGTGAAGTGTTTCGTTAGATTCTAATGATTATTTCTCCGAGTGACAGGTCCGTGATAGATGGAGGGAAGCTTCCTCATAGTTGTTAAATGGTGCGAAGGAAATCCATTTAATTGCAAAATAAAATGAAAGATGGAAATGATTCAAAATGAAGCTTTTGTGCTCCTATTAGTTCACTGTTCTTGTTACAAATAACTAAATGGGGAAAAAATGCACAATAATGAATTTATATTTCAAACTGTTATGTTATTAACATAATACATGGCACTGCCTATACTGCAGATTTTACATTTAAGTCTGTTAAATG